ATATATATATATATATATATATATATATCACTGGTACTCCGGGTAGTCACCATTATGAAAACCAATGAGAGTTCACTGTTCCAAACAGTCTGTAAACACTTGATGGACCCACTGTGCACATATATTTTAATACACGAGTTCGATTAATCCGTTCATGTAACACTTCACTGTCTTTTTTCTCTCTATTATTCCGTTGGTACCAATGTATCTGGACCACTGTTAAGACAACTAGACATATTTAACATAACGAATTTCTCTCTCCACGTCTCCGAAAGAGGACAGCAGGATTACGCATCCACGCTTCGGAGGATGCGTCTTCAGGGCTGCGAAGATGATCTTGCCGACCCGAAATCGAGTTCCTGACGTCTTCGTTAAACCGCTGGCCAGACCCTGGAATATAGAAAAATAGAAAAAAGTTAAAAAAAATTAATTAACAACCATAGCACGGCCATTCGTACAGTGATAAAAAATACATACGTGAGTAATCCTGGATTAGGATCCGCCTGATACCAAGAATACTGAGGCATGTAACCCGCGTGATGGGGCGGAGGTGGTGGAGGTGGAGGATGATGTCCAGGCGTATGTGGATGATGATGAGTATGAGGGGGTGCATGAGGGTGAGGATGGTGCTTCATTTCACCAGGCCAAGAAGGCGCAGGAGGACTCTCGTTATGCTGAGGTGACATTTCACTTCCGGGACTCGAGCTTCCGGGTGTGTGACCACCACCCCCACCACCCATACCACCAAGGTACCCTGTCGTGGGGCTACCAGAGACCGAACTGCCACCACCTGGAACCAATGAAAAAAAAGTCATATAAAGAAATTTATCAAATATATTCAAATCAATTTTTTTTCCCGCCAAAACTAACCTCCTTGCATAAGTCCTCCCGGTTGACCTGGTTGTGGAGATGGTCCACCAGGTAGAGCGGTACCTCCAGCCAGTAAACTACCGTGCTGTCCACCACCACCACCCTGTTGCGCCGCCTTCATCATCTTCTTGTACTTGCTCCTTCTATTTTGGAACCAAATTTTCACCTGTAACCCAAAAAAAAAATCCGTTACTAATTTTGTAATTTTTGAAAATTTAAAAGCATCATTCCGAATTCCTTAAATTAACCAAGGAAGTCTCTCCTAACGGTGTCTCTCCTGAGGTTACCGAGGTTATAATTATTTATGAATATATACAGATATACAACAAAGATCTTACGCCTGCGCACCTTTCAGGATTGCACACCAGTCTTTTTCTTTTTTTTTCTTCTCATCTCTCTTCTCCTATCCTTCTATCACGAGTCCATGACACACGCGCAGCCTACACGTGACGCATACTCGAATCTTATGTAACTCCAAGTACGCACGTAACGTAGCAAATAGGTACAGACATACCCAACACAGATAAAAGTACCAATCAAGTTTTCAATCAGTCCGATTCAAAAATCCCGAGTATACATAACCTCGTAAATTCCATAAAACGCGTCGATAAACGTTACTCCACCTAAATCCAGACCTAAGGTTCAGCCATTGGAATATAATTAGAATATAAATAAATCTAGCTCGATTAATCAAAAATAATACATAGATTGCGCAACCACGCCCGTGGAAGAGAGGTTAGCGTTTTATTCGACGTCAAGCAAAAGCCGTTACTTTAATTAAGAAAATCGCAAACCCGTCAGTGATAGCCAGGTTAAGTTTGCAGGTATACCAACTATGACTAACCAACGTAGGAACTATTCTAAGGAAGTACGATTAACGCTACTATAGCCAGCGAGCTATATATATATATATATATAGTAAGGGAGCAAAGTGAAGAAATCGGTCCCAGGGCGTCACGTCAAAACGAGTTCATTAAAAGCGCAGTGCGCCTCTGAGCGCTAATTCGCAAAAAGATCTACCTGCGTCGCATTGTCTCACGTTGGTACCCAGCGCCCGTCTCGAACCGATTTCTCGTTTGTTTATCGGCACGGTATGTTCACCGTCCCCCAGGATACCCATCTTCCTCTTGGCGCGCCGCTCTGTAAAAGTACCGCAGGGTTTTGTCCCGGGATGCGGGTGCGTGCCGCCGCGAATAAATCTCTTTCTAATTGCGCGCTGAAAAACGTAACGCATCGCGCGCGTGTGCGCACTCGGTGCCACCCGACAAAGAGTCGTACACGGGAGCCCTGAGATATCTTTGACGTAGCTTTTGTTTGGCGAACGGGCGAAACGCGAGATTGGTGTCTGTTCGTTGGTAGGACGGTTCCGGATGTATTTTTATTGATATTTATTACCGCAGCGCCATCTACGCTGTTGACTGGATACAGATGTTCGTTAGCGGTATAGATATATTTGTATATATATCTTTTTCAATGTGATATATATACTTCTAGAACTCTTCTCGGGATAAAGAAGGCTTGCGAGATGACTTGTGGAATGTTTTTCTTGATATAGATATACAATAGGATTACGAAAGATTGTCGTTGTCGGAGATGCTTCGCTTCGATGCGCAGTACGTGCTTTTTCAACTTCTGCGCATAAGATGGCGGAGTACTCCGTTTGGCTGGGACATTAGACTCGGGAAAGACGCGAATGAAAGAAACTGGTTAAACAAAGTGTATGCAGATATCCGTGAAGAGTTAGAACGAAGACTTTTTGAATATATAAATATAAAAGAGGGAGAAATTACGGTCCTATAGCACGATGGGCCTACGGCTTAGGAGTGAAAGAAATCTCGGACTGACTTTGCGTATGGGTTATGCGCGTGGTACAGATCGTGTACGTAAGTACGTTTATGACTGCACGTGTTACCGGGTATAGGGTACGGAGAATAAAAATGACCGTGGATATAGCCAGTTTCGAGATAGCAAGAGGGGAAAAGAGCAAGTCTCGCGGCTTCCGATGTACCTTCGGGCGAAAACTTCGTAACGGCCTCTGTCGATCGCTGATGCATACTCAATGAGCGACTAACCGGCCGTGGCGGTGGGTATTAGAACTAAAATAAAACGAGTTTATTCGTACCCATGCGAGAATCGCAAAGGTTTTTAATATTTATGAGCCACGGTCTATAGGAGCGATCGGTGGTCTGAATGAAAATCCACGCATAATAATTTCCGAGCTTGATCAATCATAGGAATTTTTTGCGTCATACAAATTTTTTTGTCTAATAAATATTTTGAAAAAAAAAAAATTGATGACTCCACCTGTTTCGTTGCGTCTTTCATTCAAAATGGAGCACGGGTAAAATTGCAGGATTATTCGTGGTATCGTTTCTCCTATACGAAATAATTTTTCAAAATGTCAACCCCTACGCGCGGGACACCCCACCAGTAGGGATGAATGATCCAATCTATGGACACAATAAATAATCACTCATATCGGACTACCTGTTCGCGAGGAGTAACCTAACCTTACTTGCTGATCCGTCATCGAGATCAGGCATTGCGGGGGTTCCCCTTAGTTTCAGCCCCTCTTCGTCACTCATTCTCTACCTACGATGCTTAACTATGCTCTGCCCTCTCTCTCGCTCCCACTTGGCGGCAATCAGTGCCGTCAACCCCCTGCTGGCAGTGTTGTCGTTTTCGGGGCCAGAAACGTGCCAGTGGTGAGTTATAAAGGGCGCGTCGGACAAATCGAATTAGCTTCGCTTCTCCAGCTTCTTCGCGTGGGGTCTCCACCTCCGTGTCTGGTTCCAAGAGACGCCGCTGGGCGTCTGCGTCTCTTGGACCGTTATGTGAATTCATACACAAGTGGATGCCAGCAGCGTAGTGGTGAGGTGCAGGATGCTGGATGCTGGATTCAGGATGCTTGGGAGATGAAGGATTCAAGGATAAAAATATTGGTGGATCTGGCTAAGGGTGAAACGAGGGTCTCTTGGTAAAAGGGATGAAGTTTCGAACCCGACTGGACCGATTCAGTAGTATTGAGGGATCCGGAAACTCCTGGGAGTGGGTCCTCCGATTATCGGGTACCACCCTGAATCCGATTGATTATGAACGCGGATGCTGTAAACGACGATACAGTCGAGATGCTTGGATCTCATTGAAAATCCGTAAAAGCGAAAAGTAAATTTGTCAAAATTATATTTTCTAGAAATGATATAAAAAATCGTTCCGTGTGATTTTTAATGTCGAAAAAGACAAAAAAAAATTTCAAAATTTTTTTCAACTTGCACAAGATCAATCACAAAGGTCGAATATTATCGTGTTCACGAGAATAAGGGGGTGACTGGGAAAAATTCATGCGGCATCGCGTGCACTTTCTGTTTTCTCGTCGCGGGCGATTTTTTCGATGGAAAAAGCACGCGTTGCGTTGCGCACGCACAGTGGCGACATATGTCGAGTTCGAATGCCGAGTAACTCGACGTACAATTCCACGGGCCGTAGGGATAATAACAGCCGTGTAAATGCGTCACTAGGGCCCGTTCGTTCACATAATGCTATAACGCTTTTATTTTCTTCCTCCGTTTTTTTTTTCTCCTTCATTTTTTTTTCACTCGCCCGCTCACTCCCACAATGCATTGCATTGCCTCCTGCCTTTCCCCTTGTGCTTCGGCGGTTCCCACTTCCTGCCTGGCATCGGTGATGCGCAGTGCCACCTCGACAACGAAATTCCCCCGTCGGTTCGCTCGCAGCGCTTTTGTTATTTATCATCGCGTTTTTCATCCAGCTCTCGTCGCCCCAACCGAGCAAACCTTCGGGAATGCATACAAAAGTCCGACAGTCTCCCCGAAGAAATAGCACGAACTGACCTAAGAGATAATAAAAATATAATAAAAGTTAGGAAAAAAAAAAGAAGAAAAAAAAAAGAAAAAATTACGAGTAAGAAAAAAAAAAGTCAACTGTTACATAACCGAACCTTGGAAAGTTTCACAAAGTTTCCGTAGCCCAGACCGGTGGCGGGCGCGACGGTCACCGGGACTCCCGACTAACTTCAGGTTGAACTCCTGACGTATAAAACCAAGACAGCGTTACCCAAGTGGAGCGGGGAATGACTTTCGTGAGAATGTCACGTGTTTTGGCCGCGATTTCAGCCAAACTTTTGTATTAAAGCTCGACGCGGAAATGTAATTAGCCAAGTCTGATCCGCGCGTCGCAACGTCCAGGTAAAGACGGTCTGGATGAAATGGCGGCTGGGAAGGAAGGTAGGTGGGTCTAGGAAATGGAGAAGAAAGTTTTGGATTGCGGTTAACCCAGATTCTCAACCTGACATCGGGTACACCCGTAACGCATATAACCTTATAGATATATACACGGGTACGTAGTTAACAAACTGAAATTGTTAACCAGCAACTGAGTGGAGATCGAAAATATTTTGTAGTGGGCGCACGTAAGGGACAATGACGAGGAGACACAGAAGCGGACCGTGGATATAGAATGTCTGACGTTTCCCCGTCTCCGTTCCTTTGTGCCAAAGCCATTTGTTATTTTGTACATATTCATAACGCGTTATTACATCATTCTTTATACGTTCCTTCCCCTCTTCTCCCCCCCTCTAACACTCGTCTCCCTCAGGTCGCTATGTACGTAGGTACTCTCTATACTTTTTTTTTTCTTTTTTTTTCACGACAAATACCAGTCAGTCATTGTCTCCAGGAGAACAAAAGCGCAACACGCTCTGGATTTACATTCTTTATATTCCCAAATCGCGCAAGAGTACAGAAATAATGTCGATCGGTACTCAAAATTCTCACCAGAGGGCAGCTACGTCCCCGGCTTGGCAAGTAGCACGGTAACGATCAAGATGCATTCGCTTGGTTTTTATTGTTATAGTGATTCGAAAAATAATGTTTGAAAAATATATAAAAAAAATTTTCAAAAATATTCCCTTTTCAATAGTCAGGAATATTTTTCAATCGACTGTGTTCTACGGGTCATTTGGCACGCGAATCACGTGTTTATTCAATGGGACCTACAGGGCCCTAATTAATGACACCGAACCGGGACTCTTGGGCGATTCCCATGTCGGTAGCTCCGAATCCACGTCCAGAGAATCCACTGTGCAGTAGGTGGATACCTTCGTCACGGTGAACGATTCGCTCATGGCTTACCGGACAATTGCGGTGG